ACCTTTCCCAGCTCTGGTTCAGGGAATTCTTCCTGGAGCTCACAATGGGCCGCAGGATCCAGTTCCCCATTGAGATGTCCATGCCCTGGATCCTCACCGACCACATCCTGGAGACAAAGGAAGCATCCATGATGGAGTAAGGATAGCATGCACGATAGATGATAACAAAAGTTAAAGCACGTCTACACAGAAGGATTTTAGCCACGTTTTCCAATTGTCCGTCCTTTGCACGTGTAATGGAACAGATACACTTTTATTTTAATCAATATGGTTCTTTAATCAGGCAGTGTAACGACTCATGTAATACTGTATATGTGTAATGGCGCACGTTTCTTACACTTCAAGTCTATTTTTTTCATTTACGTCCTAACTACAGTGACTCTGTGTTGGGCACTGAGCGCTGTCAAAATGTGGGTGACCTACACTCAATACTGTGCCTGAAGGCATCCTTGATGGAGCAGATGGAGCAGTGAAGCTGCTGCTCTGGGCTGTGTGGACTGAGTGTTAGACATTTCCCCTCCCATTCCTACTTAATTTCCTCCTTTTTTTTAGACATCCAGACCTTTTAGTTGTTTCTTGCTTTCTCTACAGTTGTCTAGATCAGCATGTGAATCATTTATCAAGCAGTGGAAAGCTAGATGGATGCATGGAGCATCTTCTGTAAGGAGGTTTCTGTCTTTTAACGTTTACAGAGGTCTGGAGAAACACTAAGCAACTATGGGTTTAAAGATACTACGAATGTCTACAAATGGCACCACAAATTTTTTTCCTTTATGGAACAAACACAATCTCCATAATGTAGTTTGATGGTTTGAAGAATTAAGGTGCCATACTGTGTGTTTGTCCTCTCAAAATCAAAGCACACAATTTAGTTTGAAAAAGGCAGCGCTCTGGCTGTGTGAGATTATTAGTGGTGTGAATGGCCAAAGGCATTCAGCAACTTCAGTGGTTGTTTCTTCTTATCTTATGATTTCAAAAAGCACCCTGGGTAAAATCCTAAAAAATGTGGATTAACCGTAAATGTTTTAAATCTTTGCTGCGGGATTATGTTGATACGAGGCAGGTTTTACATAAGCCATTAAGCACATCATCTGGCATGAATCATAAGTACTGTAATTCTTCAACTATACACCCAAAATTGCTAAAAACAAAGTCTACATTTCAACCATATAAGAAGTGTATATTGATAGTAATGCTCGACACATTTCCCTGAGCTTGTGTCTTAGCAGACTGCAATGAGTCATCAGGTTTGGATTTATCTGGTTTGACAGATATAAGGGTTCTTTTACTTTCTGCGCTTTTTCTATCCCGCTATATTTTCAGCACTGTGAAACAATACAAAGGCATTGCTATTTTAGCTTTCAACCGTCTTTTTAACAAGTCACCATATTCCAATCTCTGCCTGTACTCTTGTGGTTGAATACGTGGTGTAACACTTTGGGATAAAACTTTTTGCTTTAATCCACTACAGGTATGTGCTGTACCCCCTGGATTTGTACAACGACAGTGCACACTACGCCCTGACCAAATTCAAGAAGCAGTTCCTCTATGACGAAATAGAGGCTGAGGTAATTAAATATGTGTATGTACTGGATGATTTGATGCGATAGAGACACACAGTGACAGCTTTCCATAAGAATGGCATGTGTGCCTGTTGTATCACAAACAATTTGAATGTCTATTTTCCACATCTATTCTCAGTTGCCTGTTAGTTGTATGTCCTCCAGTGCAGTTTACTCATTATGTAAAAAAAAAAAAACCTCACGTTGGATGAATTAAATTGTTACGTTTTGTCACAAATTGAAACGTGTATTCTGAAACATACATGTTTGTTTGAACGTCTTTTGTTATTTCAGGTGAATTTGTGCTTTGATCAGTTTGTCTACAAGCTGGCTGATCAGATATTTGCCTACTACAAGATTCTAGCAGGAAGGTAGGTGAAATATCTCTTTGTCCTTTTTCATACTGTTCCATTAGTTAGGATGTGATGGGTTTCCCTGTGCTGCAATGCAGTCATTCCCAGCTATGGGTATCTGTACCTCCAGGGGCTATTTCAGCAGTTTCCATGGGTTACATATAAAGATTGTAAAGTAGCTCCTTTGAAAAAATAGATTGATGATTTGATTGAAATGTGTTTGCGTTACCTTTCCTGACTCTCTCCACCAGTCACTGTCACAAATAAAGCAGAAATGCCAAAAAATGGATTAACAGGTTGTTAGCTTAAATTGATGCATAAAGTGTAGTAGGAATGCAAACTTTACCAAATCAACCTAAATATCGTCAATTCAATTGCATGTACAAAATTGGCAATAGCATCGCCTTTTTAATGGTGTTGACATCCACTTATAATCAATTGAAATGACCACTCTTGGATAATGTTGGGTGGTGCTGATGAAGGGGTATTGAGTTCATCAGATAGGGATGTTGGGGGTACATCAGATAAAAAGGTTGGAAACCCACTGTGTGAAATAGTTTGAAAACATGGAGTCAGACTTTTATAAAAAACACCCTGTAACTTTACTCATTCTCTATTAATTTAAATCCCTCAGTCTTCTGCTTGACAAACGTTTGAGAACCGACTGTAAGAACCAAGGGGCCAACATTCCCTGGCCGGCCTCCAACCGCTACGAGACACTTCTGAAGCAACGCCACGTCCAGGTATATACTCTACCAGTTATGCGTTATGGCCGCTCTGTACTGACACCACCATTATATTGGCGTCATGTTGTGTCAGCCTTACTAACTGGTTGTAAATCTCAGCTTCTAGGCCGCTCCATTGATCTGAACAGGCTCATCACTCAGAGAGTTTCAGCTGCCCTTTACAAGTCTCTCGAGCTGGCCATCAATCGCTTTGAGAGTGAGGACCTTACCTCAATCATGGTATGTTCATTCTTTTTGGATTTCAAGAGTATTTCTGTGTTTGTTGCTGTTATTGTCTACTTTGTGTGTTGGCGTACAGTCATGGGCTATTTTTCTATTTGTTTAAAGGAACTTGAAGGTCTTCTGGACATCAACCGCATGACACACAAGCTCCTCAGTAAGTTCTTGACTCTGGACAGCATGGACGCCATGTTCCGCGAGGCCAACCACAACGTGTCGGCCCCCTACGGCCGGATAACACTGCACGTCTTCTGGGAGCTCAATTATGACTTCTTGCCCAACTACTGCTACAACGGCTCCACCAACAGGTGTGTTAGTTTGGGTGACTGTGTGAGTCAACATTAACTGTTGTTAACACTGCGGCTGTCCTTTTTATAGAGTTAAGTTAATCTGGGTAAGTAGCAAATGTAATACAGACTTCAACAGTCAAAACTCTCTGTCTGCCTTAAGTTTGAACATTTTTATGAGCTATTGTAAATGTAGCAAAATAAAACTTTCCTTGTTTTGGCCCTGATGTTATTAAAAGATCCGCAACCCTGCAACAAAGTACTAGACCACAGTATAAAAAGAAACCAATAAAGCTCCCAATTAGATACACTATATATACATGTATTTGCTTATATGCTGTTCATATGCACTATACAGGATCCCAGCAAGAGGGAAACCTTATAATCTGCGGATTCAAAGGAGGCACTCTCAGTGGGGGTCTTTTGAAATGAGCAGCAACAGCCTCCATATAGCCTGCAACAAACACATGTTTTGAACCTGTTTGGCTGTTTTATAAGCCACAAATGTTTTTTATTCAATGTTTGATTTGTATGTATTTTATTCTTGTTGTTTGCTCAGTATAAAGCTGTTTCTGCAACACAATACTGCTGCAAGGTTATCTACGTGTGTGTGTGTGTGTGTGTGTGTGTGTGTGTGCCTCCTGCCATCTCGAATCATGTGCATTATGTTGGAAGTGATACATGTTTGATCAATCCCTATCTGTTTGCTCAGGTTTGTGCGCACCGTCCTACCCTTCTCTCAGGAGTTCCAGAGGGACAAGCCCCCCAACGCTCAGCCGCAGTACTTGTACGGGTCAAAGGTCAGTACATATGTCTTTATCATCAGCCAATGAGACTGCGTGGTCTTTTTTATTGATTTCTGCCAGGACTCAAAGAACAAAAACAAAAAAAACATTCAATACATGTTAATATCTGTAGATTACAAGTGGAAAAGCATCATTATGGGAAATGATATGTTAAATATCTTAAAACATGTGCAAGGTTAATGGAAAAAAAAAAATAGATGTTTGTATACAAAAAATTACAAGAACACAATGGAACAAATTATATTGACCAGATAAATAAATTTTTTTCAAGTGTTGCATTTGCAAAACATTTATCACTGAAGCTTTGGAGCAGCGCGGTCATATTTCATTTCAAATGGTGAGAACATTTTTATTTCTCCTAAACACAAACAGGATTTTACAGGGCACGGGAGATATCGTGAAGAAAAACAAAAATGTGTTCTCGATTTAATAATTTTTGGCATCAAGCTCTCTGTTTCTCGCTCTCTTGTCACCTGCTGATAATGGATAACGATGATGTTCTAGCCTGATATGCATGAAATCAGATATATGACTGTCTCTCATAAATTAAAACCAATTACATTGTGTCAAATTGTTTTCCCGTCCAATTGGACACATTTAATTCAGATAGCTGTTCCAAAAGAGCATAGCGTTGCCTGAGATTAGCTGTCTGACTGTCTGTTATAATTAAACCAAATTAGGCTGCATGATTCTAAGTGCTTTTGAAGCAGCCACTGAACAGTTTCCTACCGATAGCTGAGCCAGAAAGCACGGGAAAATATCAAAACTGTTAATCACCATGACTAAATAGGTAAAGTCACTGCTCACCGCCGTGCAGAAGAAAGGAAAAGGGCTGTAGGCTGTATGGCATGTATTTCACACTGATAATCAAGTGTGTGGGTTGGGATTAGAGATGTTTCAATAACATTTTTTTCTTCCTGATACTGATTATGATACCTGAACTTTGTGTATCGGCCGATACCGAGTACCGGTCCGATATATGTGCGTTAAAATTACTAAACTGAAATTGTTAAATCGAGAGCACAAATTCAATTATTTTTCTTTTTTCATCTTGATGCCTCCCGAGCTCCGTAGGATTTCATCAGTAATTAATAATACTCGATTCAGTCCGGGCAGAACGATTGATGACCTCAATCCAATTGATTCATACTGGCTCTGTGCCAGAAAGCTTAGCGAGCGTCCTCAGCTCGTGGTCCTGGGTAATTATGTGGCCAGTGGTCTGCGCTGAGAGAAGGGAGCGTTGTATGATGGTGGCATGTTTGGTGCTGTCCTCGCTGCTGCTTCTGGGAGTGTAGAGGCGTCCGGATCCAGACATGTCTTGGCAGGTCGAGTTAGTCACCACATGGCAGCTGTCTGCGGCCTGACTGGGGATGGAGCAGATGGTGTGGAGACACCCCCACAACAGGATTCCAGCGATGACCAGCAGCAAGATGCAGCAGGTCAGCCAGACGCCCATGGCGAGCTCCCAGCCAGCTCTGTCGTGACCTTCGCTGTTCTCGCTCAGAGTGCTGAACACCTGGCACTGGTCCCGCACCGGATTGGCTGCCTGACACGTCACACACAAGAAGTAGGCGGTCTGGGGGAGGAGGTTGGCCAGGTGTGTGCTGGTCTGACTGACGGGGATGCGTTCCTCGTGCATGAAACTCTTCCGCTTGTAGCCCATCAGGAGGCTGTTCCAGTTCGGGTCGTACATGACGCTGTAGAAGGTGTCCAGGCAGCTGGGGGACGACGGCCAGCTCACTCTGGCTGAGGTGGTGGAGATGTTGTAGACCGCAATCCCCATGATGCAAGGCCGTTTCTGTAGTCCGTCTGTCTGTCTGCTTGTAGAGCCGAGTTGATATGAGTGAAATATTTCCTCAGTTATTACAGTCAACTGGAAAAGAGAGATAACATAAACAAGAATTCAGATTACTTTAATATAATGCTATAATGTCCACCAATTTCAGATTTTTGTGCTTCTCACCAAGGAGCTTCTATAATGAGCATCCATCATTAACAAGATACTTTGATAACAGCACCTTTTCTGTTCCTGACACACTTATGGCCATATGATATGAACACAGTGTAATTACATCCCTCTTCTAAATTGCATTCCTGGTGTATAGTGTAAGCATAATTCATGAAAAATGTCATGGCCATCCACCGATCCCACACACACATCACACAAAGCATAAAAAGTGAAAGGTTGGAAGAACAATATCAGAGGATAATGAGCATTGTATGAAGGATTATCTGGAAGTGCAGCGGTGGGAGGGAGGTGAGCGTATGCACAGATGTTCAGCAAATTATATAATGCAGAATGATTTGTTAAGAGACTCATCTGTGCTGTTAAGTCACCTGTTACAGGACAGGTGACGATTTGACAACCTTGAGCAGTTCAGGTAGCAATAGTACGGACTGTGGCTTTAGCTTTGATTTAAGCATTATTCGTGAAATGTATTGAAGCTTATAGAATACAAAATAATAACATGCTCTTGACCAAACACTGATATCAGGTGGTGGTAATAGAAGCATTTCAGGTGTTAATATTGCCCAAAATGGAAGAGTGTGTGTGAGTGTGAAATAATTAACTGTAAGTGTTCACTGTGCCTCCCTATGTTTGAACTAATGCAGCGAGGGTGTGGTGCTCCTTGAGAGCATTCATCAGGCACATTCATAGTACGTGTTCTAGTTATGCTATTTTTGCTCAATACTCTAAATAAGCCATCATAAAAATGCCTAAAACAGACACAGAATTGTAGTTTCTAGGTCATTTACAATTTCCGTCAGCCTGACAAGCTTCCATCTGACTTTTATAGTACAAGTCACTAGAGATGCTTCAGTTTTTTCACCTATACAATTAAGCAAATTCATCCTTTCACATTTTTCTGTTGCATCAGCTGTAACCAATAGCAACAAAACATACTTGTCTATATGGTAATGAGCCATGTTAAGAAGATCATTAGTGGCCATCCATTCAAAGGCTTGAGAGAAGGGAAGACTTACCAGAAAAACACTGCGAGCACGTGTTGAACATAGCAATCTGTCGTGCCTGAGGTGTTGTTTCAGATAGACTATCCTGTGGTCCTGCTATTCAGACATTTTAGCGTCTATTCCACTGTCATCGCATCAAGAGCTCTGACGCCGGGGGCTGCTGTGTAGGTTTACAACCTCAGGAGTGGACCCGAGATCGGTGCGTCCTTATCTCTGCTGCTGCCACACAAGTGGGAGTGCTGCTGGATTAGAGCAGCAGCAGCTTCAACTAGCTGCCGACAGGGGAGAGAGAGGGAATGAAATCTCTTGCAGTTTATGTTAGAAAAGAGCGCACTGTGTAGAAACACTACAATGTCCAAATGTCATTGTATGTCATTTTTTCTTATGGTTGTAAATGTTGCCACTCTGATTGTTTGTTTGTTTCTGTTCCCATGTTCCCCTGCTAGGTTATCTACAGAAAATCATAGTGATAGCAATCATTCATTTCCCCTTCACCAGCACGTTGGTCCATGCTCTGTTATCTTGGAAATCATGTGGCGGGGGTTAGGGAAGGGGAGCTGAAATTGTTGTTCATTTGGGCAATCCATCTGTCCAAATGGGTTTTTTTCCAGAGTAAAGTCTCTCAACAACTTCTGGCCAGATTGTCATGTAATTTACTGTGGATATCACAGTCCCCAGAGGCTAGTGATCCCCTGGCATTTGTGTATTTTCACTTGCACACAAAAATTATTAAAATCAAACAGGCAGATTGCTGTGAAATGGATCCTTTGAGTTAGCTTTCAACTAGCGCCACCTTCTGGCTAAAATCTGAACCTTTCCAAACAAAGTGCCTCATAATCCAACAGGCAGGTTGCCATAAATTTATGGTGATTTTGTTTTTGATGATCTTGTGTTGGACATTTTTAGCATTGTGACTGTAGGGACATGAATATCGGTCAGTCCACCACTGTGGTCCAGCATAAAATGTCAACAATTGGCTGGATTGCCATGAAATTCCGTGCAAACATTCATGGTCTCCAGAGGATGATTTCTGATGATCCCCTGCTTTTTCATACATGAAAAACCAACCGACCAAATCAAAATTGTAATTTGTCCAATACTTTGGTTTATGAACAAATACCTGCAAAACGAATGACATTCCCAACAATTAGTACGTTAGTATGCTAACATTTTGTATACTAACATTTAGCATGCTTAAATTTGCTAACATTTGCTAGCCCCTCGAGGTCCCCTCCATGACATCATCCTATTGATGTTCTTGTATTCTTC